ATGATGGTCACCGATGACCGGAACTTCCAAATGACTTAAAAATAATTATAATTCGTAAGATAACTAAACGTCAAATAAAAATGTTCAATAGCGTAAACAACTAGATAACAGCGTAACATAAGAATTGTGGTAGCAATTTTAGCGTTAAGCTATGTCAAATAAATATGTATTCCTAAAATCTATACCAGTTTTCCTTTCCAACATTTCATTTCTTTTTGTATCAATAGATTTTATTTACGCGATTTTCATTCACGTAAATCGAATCACCATTGAACAGATACTCTGCGTAAATAGAGGGACATGTGTATGGCTGTAACATGAATATATCTTTACGCAATTGTTTGTAATTTCTTCCTTTAACCAGATAACTGCGTTTGACGAGTATACATGTACACAAGCTTGAAATGGTACTAATTCTTTCAACGATGAATTCTTTTTTCAGATAAACACGTCATTCTTCTTTGTTTTGCTTTGAATTTTCATTAAAATATACCCTAGGTACATTCGTAGTACATTCGTCCTGCGTTTGACGAGTACACATTTCAGTTTTTTATTTTATTGCATGCGAAACAAGAGATTTTTGAAACTTAATTCCACAGTTAACAAGTTAAATGATTCACAAGGAAGTTCATCATGTCTCAGTTCTGCAAATAGTGCTGAAAGAGGGGACTCTGTAAAGTAGGTACTTATCGCTGGCAGAATATTTGCACCTTGAGAAAGAAGGTATCGGTTTATTCAACGAATATTGCGTACATGAACATTGGAGAACAATGGCGTCGATAATACACATACTCTTTTTTATACAGGTCTTCACTGTTCTCCGAACGCTCGTTGCTTCGTTCTTTGCGAACCTTGGGGATTCCCTTGATAGATGGATTCCCCAGAATTTTGGTCTATCCCAATCATAGTCTTCATGCGTTCAGTTCAATCAAGAAACGTCACACTCGTGTGATAATTGTTATGCGTGCAGATGCAGATAGTAATTAATCATATCAGCGTCACTGTGATGTGTCTCTGTCACTAGTGTAAATTAATCTCGTTCTTCCCCGCGAATATGATTTCCCCGGAAGAATTGAGTAATTCTCGGTAAAAGGTCAGCAGAACGTCTCGGATTTCTGCATGATTTGCAATTCGACCGCTGAAATCTAAACAAACAATGTACGCTACGTACGTTGACTTTGCTTAAGGAGATTTTATCGTCTAGACACTCTCCTCTTGAGTAATCATTTTAATTTCTTCTGAGCAATTGAGCGGAAGCACATAGTTGTCTCGTTGGGAAGTTCGTTTTTCGGTGACTTTTAACATTAAAACTACCGAACAGTTAACTTACCGTTACTGTAATTAGCGTAATTGTGCGGAATATGCAGTATTAATAATAAGCAGAACAAAAGAGCCGTTTGTAAATGGACAAAAATAATAACTAATGTCCTACAACAAATCTCTTTGAAACGGATAGTAAAAAGTTACTTTAAATTTCAATTGTACTACAATGTACGGTCACAAATAGTATCGTTCGAGTACTAAAAAAGCATAAATTAGCCTAGGGAGGATTATTTACATTTTTCAATTACAAACTGTAACTTTAAAATCGCGATTTCTAAAGAAAGAGTCTTTAACACTAAACTACCGAGCAGTTAACTTGACTTTTTGAAATTTCTCTGTAGAAATTCTAAGATTGCATCTATTGAGATTTAAATTTATTTACAGTTCAGTTTGCGTATTGTTGAATCAGTTTCTTTAATCATTTCTCAGAGAAACATCTGTTATCTTTTTAATAATTGCGAAAGAAGACACCAGGAATGGGTCATTTTGACCTGTCTGGTAGCTTTAGTATTAAATTACGAGTACACTTAGCTCTCAATTTATACGGTATTCGAAATGCACGATTTCGGTTTAATACGGTTGAAGAAGAGCGGTAAAACTTCCATTTACACGGCACTTGCACTTCACTTTAAAACGGTCAGGTTTTGTTTTGTTAATTACATATGCAATCTTGTTGGATTAATGAATTTTTATTTAGAAATATTTATATAACTTTTTATTTAACAAAATAATAAATAATAATGTTTCATATGGATTTGTTAAATTTATTACATTGCATTTCTTTTCAATGTAAATTGTGGATTCGAATTGCTCGATTTTAATCTACCGTGTAAATCAAGGGTTAAGTGTACTTTGAAAAATGATAAAGCTAGAAATTCAGAATTCTATGTGTCCGCTTATTCATATTTCAAAAGCATACAATAAAATATTTATGCAATTTTTGTGTATGTGAACAAAGTTATTAAATATCTAGTGTAATTTATCACTTACTTTATTTCATTTTGCCACAGGAAAATTTCGGGTAGGAATACATGAACGAACGTATTAATACTTTTGTCAGCAATACATAATTGTACTTTTCATTATAACACAAGTTAAAATTATATTATGTATTTAGCTCAAATGATAAATTCATTGTGTTCATAAATGTATTGTAATAATTTTATGAAAATAAATGCATCAATTGTAATTGTAACCCACAATCAAAAGCGTCAAGATTACAAAAAGTGAACAGTAATAGTGAAGGTGATGGTTTCGAGTCTTAGTTCGTGGAAACCGTCTGTCAAAAGCTCTCTGGTCCTGAATGAATTAACTCACGTAAGCTTCTGTTTCCGTTTTAGGTGAATTTCGTGGTGTCACAGTTCGTGGCATTCATGTTGGCTGGTATTATGAGAAAGTATCTTAACCCAACCGCAGTCACAGCAGCCACCAGACATGTATTCGCCCTCATTATCGGTCTTGGGCTTGGGTACTTCAGTTTCGGCAGGTAAATCGATTCAATGTCAAATAGACATATTACGAACTATATAAATAATTGTTAATTACTCGAGAAAATGAATCTATTCGTGAATATTAGATGTTCAAGCTTTCCCGTACCTTGACGTTGAAAGGCGAGGGACTTTATTTTTACCCAAATGACAAATAATTCTGTATGTAATTAATCTATCTTTTATTTACAAAATTAAGTTCTTTCAAATCAATAACATTTGTAAATTATTAAGTTGGTTCACATGCTCAGTAACTAGATGTATAGTGTGTTAACGCTAGAACTACTAGACGAGTCACACTCAACCATTTTGCATTTTTTCATTTACAAATATTAAGAAGATACGTGTGCGTTTTGAAAATGATTAAATGAATTGATTTAGTAATATGGGAATTTAAATATCACTGAATTCAGATCTCAATAAATGCACTCTTATCACTCGTAAAAAAAACGCAAAACGGTTAACCCTTAACAATTCAACTGATTTTGTAATCGAACAGCAACTCGACGCCATTTTCATAATATCCCTGGCGAAAATTAAACAATATTATGTTATAAAATTCTTTAAATTTTTTATTTCCTTTGGACGATATTTGCATGCACAGCAAATAACTTTAGAATAATTTTCTTCGAATTTATTTACTAAAATATTTGATACTATAAACGGTGCTGTAGTGGAACCTACAGGGTGAAAATTTGATTTCTTTAAAAGCAATTGTATATTTTCAGGCAGACGATACATATTGCAGGTCTCCCGGCATTATGTTATGTAATAATGCGCACAATAAATCCACGTAATATACAAAGGCAAGTTATTAATAATTTTTCAAGTATTAAATTACATTATGATTATTTTCGTTTAATTATTTTCTAATTTACATAAAGAATTAATAACATCACAGAATAAATCAAATTTATAAATAGATTGATTGAATGAAGATCTTTCAAACATTCAAAAATAGTTGCTTAATAAATGTAAAAAGCAGAAAATATAACATTTTTAAAATACTTTGGTATAAATAAAATTCTAAAGTTTAACATATTCATTACTAATGTGATCGACTGGTCATATGGGTAATGATAGTGAGATACCAAGTGGATCTACTGGTTACAACCATTTTTTGTTTGATTGATGGATCTTATCATTTTGTCTTTTCAATATTTTGTTCATTGTTCAATTGTTTAATGTTTTGTTTCTTTTTATTTGGTTATGTAATTTTCACACAGCATTGTAAAATTGTAGTAAAAGAAATCGTTAAAATTAATGAAATACGGATAACAAAAAAGATGTTTGTAAACTTCTTTTTATGACTATGAAATGCCGATACAACGATTTGTTTTGTTTCTTTATAAAAATATACACAATATCTTTCTTTACGAGAAAATACCGTCGACTAATGCGTATCCGAATTTATCACATTTCATTTTATGTAACACGTAAATTGAACTTACATAAACTTAACTACACCATTCGAAAGTTTTATAGTTATGTAACTCGATATACAACACCGTCCATAAGTATTTGACCATCATTTCGATTTACTGAAAATATAGGTGCAAAATATGTTTGAAGTAAAATTTTTCAGTGTACCTTCTATATAATCTATCATTGTCTTTGCTTTATATGTGCATATAAAACTAGTAATTAATGATACCGATAACACTTAACGTTAATGGAATCAATAACTAAAAAAGGACCATATATTGCAAATTTTTCGAAAGGTATTTTACGTGGAATAAGAATTTGAGAATTGTCAAGAACAATTAATTATTTACCCACTTTCGTATTTGTAGTTAATAAATTACTTTATTATTCGATTATGTTTCAAATTTTTTAATTGTTACAATCAATAATAAATTGTTCTTACTTCTTCCTTTAATTTATGAAATGTGACGTAGGCTTTTCTTCTAGATGTCGATTTAATTAACATAATTAAATGCAGATTGAGAAAAATTGAATAACAGCTGGACTGGCGAATGTATGAAAATATGATTCCAAGTAATTTTAAACAGTGTCTATTTACAATTGATGATGATTCTACAAACAGTTATAGATTTATTTATAAAGTGTTTGAAACGAGATTGAACAAAAAATATCAAAAAATTTACTCCTGGATTACCTCAAATCATTCATTCATGCATTTGAGAGAATAAAATATTTAATAATTTTTATTTAATATTGGTTATACTTCCAGTGTTTAATGCAATATAACATTTCCATACGACGATTATATAAATTGTTTTACGCCTCATTATGTTTATGAATATTTACATTACAAACGAGGACATAAATCTTTTGATCCGATTTCACCAGATGGTCAAATACTTATAGTACTGCATATATTTGTTCATTTGGAATATCTTTTGAGTTCTTAATTAACCCCATAAACAAGTGAAAGAGATAAACTAACATAATTAAGTTAAACTTATGTTTCTTAAAATTGATCTACATTCCAATATAATGAACCCCTTGCCCTATGGTTATTTTCCCGATTGGATCCCAATTCCCAAACATTGGATATATATTAAAAGTTATTAATGGTACATGAATACTTTCTACAACTAGTAATTTACAAGTATTCATTTATAGTATTAGAGTGCTGAATATTATCAAGGCGTAAAATTGAATGTCTCACTGTCACGTTATCAGTAGACAAATACAATGTAAAGACAATTCTGAAATATTTTTTATTGTGCGTCATTTGGTCACAACACGAACCGAGATATACGTTACATTAAAAGATATTCGCGATTCGTGTCGAAAGTTACACAATCATATAATGAAACACTGAACAAGAAATTGGAACGCAACTTCAAATAAATTACATACAATTTATGAGAATGACAAGAGTGATGTAATATCTTATCCAATTCTAGGTACTCCATGACCAGTGATCGTTCTTTGAACTTGCTCGAAATGAACTCTAATTCTAATAACACGTTTCAGGGGTGTACTAACAGCCGCGCTGTTCTATTTGTCTTGTGTGCATTACCATCGGATGATGTACAATTATGGCTCGTACACTCTTGATGTCACTGGTAAGTATTTATACATACACGTACACATACACGTGCACTACATCCGGATGATCGTCACGCGAGAATTCAATTTCATCTACCGCGCGAAGTATCAAGTGACGACGGTCAGACATTTGATCTAGCCGGCGATTTGCTACTACAATTAGAAATGTAAACACTCGATATGCGAAACCGTGTTACAAGTATCTCCAATTTTTCCCCCTTTTTTACTAGTTAAAACACTATACCACAATGTTCCTCGTTAATACGTTCATTGTTCAGAACTATGAGAAAATTTGAACGTATATTTTACTTATATAGTACATTGACTTCTTGGATAAAATAAACGGGATAAAATATCTTAATACAAAAGTGTAAATTACAAAAATAAATCATAGTATGTGCAGGTTAATAATATAAGTACGAATAATTTGAACAAATTATAATTCGTTAAGGGTCTGTAATTGATTTTTTAATGAAGAAAATGCAAATATTCATGATTTATTAAAAAAAACAGAATGTAATAGTGTTACTAATAAAGCAATTCGAGCAAAAAGCAAATATAAAATTGTTTAAAATTTCATTTTATTCTTGGAATTTAATTGTCCGTCTTAACTGTTCAGCTGCACGCATAAAGGAAGTGTTTCGAAGTAAATGTCACTAAGTCCGATACAAGTCATTTGATTTAAAAAAAAAAGCTTGATGTACCATTTTATTAAAAAAGATGAAGGGTTTGCCACTTGCCAGGACAATTTGGTGCTCATGAAATGATTAGCTTCAATATCGAATTTAATTGGGGAACAAAAAAGATGAAATTAATGTCTGCTATGATTTCGAATAAACAACTTTTAACCGTTTATTTGGTCATTCTATATTTTACTTCTCACTGTTTTATATCTTAACACGTTGAATGCCGTACAATTTCACCAAATGAGCAAAATACACGAAATGAGAAAAGATATAATATTGAATTATTGTTATTGCACGCTTATCTTGTTGAATGTCACTGCAGTAGGTAGTGTTCGTTCTAATATAGAAATGCTTTCAAATAATCACCGTTTAATTGAGTGAATTGTAGTGATTTTATTTGGTTGGGAGTCACCGGTGACCCCCCGTGGCATTCAACGTGTTAATCTTAATCTCTCATTTTGAACAAAAAAGAAATTTGTAATGAAATTTCTAATATCTTTTCAATTATAGAGGCATCTATTGCACAAGTCCTCCAGAACTGTATAGTACTCCACAGTTTCATTTCTTTTCTTCTATTAGAAAGTCCTGTCACGTGTTTACGACTTGTTTCCTCAAGTAGACAAGAGTCAACATATCCACCCCTCGGACGTTCACACGACAAATTGTATGCATTACAGGACCGCTGATGGTGATAACGCAGAAAGTAACCAGCCTCGCATACAGCATACACGACGGATTATTTGTACGTGAGGAAGAGCTCACGCCACTGCAACGTAGTCAAGCCATCAAGTGAGTTGACATTTTCTTTTTTATTGTTCGTTTGGTTCAAAATTATTAAAACGCAAACTGAACTCGAATTTCCGACTTCGCTAAAAATGAATGAAATTTAGGTTATTCATTCTTAAATAAATATGTATTAAATACAAATAATGACGACTCCAAAAAGCCTTTGAAATCATTTTATTTGTAATGAACGTATTGTATGCGAGCCGTTTTGCTCATTTCAACTTATTTTACTTTTAATATTAAACGTTAATGAAATAAATATAAACATTCAACTACTACGACAGTACACGAAAAACGTACTTTTACGTTATTCGCATGCGCTCGTCCCCCAATTTATGTGGAGTATCTGACCCCGTGGATTCGTTTCACGCGAATGAAAATCGTGTAAATAGAGTCTGCCAGTACAAAAGAAAACAAAATATTGGAAAGAAAAGCTGGTATTTATAAGTTTTAAAAATACATACTGATCGCTTCTTTTGCCCTGTGCCTTGCTCTTACGACCAGAGGCCCTCATGCACGTTGAAACCTGTGGCGATCGTTACTAGTGATGGGTTTGAGTCTTCCAAAGTTTCATGATACAAGTTGCACTTAAACAATAACTGAAAAAGGCTTAAACCCATCGCTTGTATAGTCCGTCGGAGAGAAGACTTCGTTTGGGGACACTTCCACTAACGATGTTCGGACCGCCTCGATCTTCCACGCATGGTCGCGAGACCGATTGCGACGGAGTGAGATGTAATGATACAGAATGAAGTTGGCGACAATATGGATTTTATTTTCTATCGTTATATCTCACTTCGTCGCATTTGGTCTCGCTTCAGTGTCCTTTTACCTTCTTGACTTTTTAGCTTTTGGACAGGCGAAGTTTTTTTTCTGTCGGACTATAGTAATGTTTGCTCAGATTCCAAAATTTCGGGTCCCAGAATTGACATTTGACCGAGCAGAAAACACAGGAGGAAGCTACCACCCGTCGCAGCGAATCTGGCACTTTCGTCTGAGTGGTCAAATTCGAAGGCGTATACTTTGCCCACACGGATTTTCGGTTCTGGTATGTGATTCGCTGAGGCGCTCGCGCCAGTAATCGAGTCACGCGACAGAGAGCGCGAAGAGCTGTCACCGGACTTGCAATTGGATTTCTCAGAGCGACAGTCTCCGCCCCTATGACATCACAAGTGCCAGGTTCGCTGCAACGGCTGGTACTTGCTTCCAGGAATTGACTCGACCACAGCCTGATAAAGGCAGAGAATCGATATAGTGAGCGGAAGCGGGATACACATTGTCTGTCAAGCATCGGGGGTCGAGATGCGGGACTTCAAAGCGATGACGCACACTTCAAATATAAACATACAATGAAGAAAGTTTCAACTGCATTAATTTTAACCTTACCTTCTCAAATGTAGTGCCAATGAATTTCTGAGATTGTTGTGATTGAAACGAGTTCAAACACGATGGAAATCAGACTAGGTTTACCGGCTTAATGTAATTAACGAAATTAAAGGTTCATTTGCCTCAATTTGATAAAATTAGACCGATTTACATCGTGTTTGGATTCATTTTAATGAAAGGAATCTCAACACTCCATCGGTAATACGATTGAGAAGGTAAGGTTAAAATTATTGCAATTGAAATTTTCTTCATTGCATATTTATACTTGCCACGTGCGGTATCTCTTCGACCTGTGCCTGTCTCTTTTTCCCTCATTGTACTCATTTTCTGTCCCTGTCTACTGGGATCACGTTACACTGAGCTCGAGATAGCGAGTAGTAGGGGAAGAATAGGTATGATGCAGTGGGATTGAATCGAGCAGATTTCTGTGGAATTTAAGCGAGCATCACTGTATAGCGATGCTGCATCGCGATAGGTTTCAGCGTGTACGGTGGTCTTAACAGGCAGAGGCAAGGGGAATCGGTTACACGCTGTACCTTGGTTCTTCCGCGAAACATAGTAGCCGACCCTTCGCGTCCTACGAGTAATCAATGTTTCGACCTCCAAAAGAAATTTGCACTTAACAATGAACAGAAAAATTGTAATAAACAAATTCTAGTAAATTATTAATAATAATGTGTGTAAATCTAACAAGCATATACGCAAAGCGAATCGTGTGGCAACGGGTTAACTAGACATAATTGGCAAGCATACGAATTAAATTCAGTTTTTTTTATGATTTCGATCGACTGTAAAACGTTTTATTCGCGCGTTAATCTTATAAAGTGTATGAACGCAAGGTTGTAACGGGCGCGTATAGTTCGCCGCGTAATTACGCGATGCGACTTTCATTCACATTCAAGAATCGCATCGCTCGCCGCACGGTGACTCACGTTTATCACTTTACGCCATTGTAGGCTACGATAAAAGTCGTTGCGCATGATTTATTTTAGAAAGATGCCCACCACTTTGGAGTACTTTAGCTACGTCTTCCATTTTCAAGCTCTGATGGCCGGCCCAGTGATACTGTACCGCGATTACATCGATTTCATTCAGGGGCACAGCTTGGCCGGCCGGAAACCTTTGACGGTAATCACAATTGATTGCTTTCCTTCCTGCAGGATCATTTTGAGAGAGATTAAGCTAGGAAATTTTTTGTTTTGTAAAATCAGAATGGATACAAAATATTTATAAGGTATAGCGATAGCTTTGCTATAAATTATTCGTCAAATTTGATGGAAATAAGGCCAACCGAATACAAATATGTAAAGGGTAAAATAAAATGTAATTTGAATTTGGTGATATCGACATATGTTCTGTGAGCGGCCTTGTTAGAGATGAATATCTTTTATTTCACTGTTTAATACATTGTTGAACTACAATTTTACATAGAAGCTATCCCATGTTACAGGTTATTATTCCGCAATTAAATATGAAAGTGAAACAATCTAAATAAATTTCAATATATTTTATTTATACATATGAAACGAAATGAAACTTTGGATATATGTTTTATATAACTTTGAATATTTCGCTTTTACAATATTCTATATTGCCCTGCGTTTCAACAATTGAAATAGCTAATGAAAGTGCAAACACGAGTTGAGTCATGATCAGTCAATAATGTATTAATGAATATTAACACATTGCGCGTCGGCCCCGTGATAATGCGGGATTTTTTGTCTATCGTTTAATTGCTAATCCTGCATTTTAGACATGTATGACACAAATCCAAAGTAAAATTTACAAAATCGAACACCTTATTCTTTTCCACAAGTTAGAAATTTCGGTTTGATTGGTGTTTAAAAATATATCAATATAACCACCGACGCTCGCGTTTTTAGTAGCTGAAATTTAGCCGGCGTACAATGTGTTAATGATTAATACGACACGAGATCCCGAACGATTCGGACGATTCACCTCTTTAATTAAATACAATTCATCGTTCGAGTTTCTCTTTTTCTTCGACTATCAGTGAAACATTTACAAAACTAGCTTCTTTAGTCTTTACATATTCTTTAGTTCTTTTTTTTATATAATTATAATAAATTCCTATGTTATCTATTAGAAAAATTAGAATGACATCTTTATAGATTCGTGAAAAGTTATTTTAATAGCGTGGATATGTAAACAGTATATTGAAATTGAAACTTCTGTTAAGATGATTTTCGTTACACCTTGCAATACACTTTTTCCAGTCTTTCATAAAAATTGGAATGACACGAATTTTGTTTTTTAGGGGTGCGATAAGAATTCCGGCCATTATAGTGAAATTGTCCTGGAACCGTCGCCGCGTTTGGTCGTAATAAAGAAATTGATCGTGAGTTTGTTGTGCGCCGCTATGTTCGTGACTTTCATTCCGAAATACCCAATCCAGAAGTTGAAAGGTTCGAACCACCGATATCTGTTCAGTATTCATGCATGCATTACATTCCATAACCAACGGACGGCTTGTTCTGTTTGCAGACGAGGACTTTCTGCACAACACGAATGTGTTCCAGAAAATGTGGTATCTGATGATCGCGACCATGCTGGTGCGATTCAAGTATTACCACGCGTGGATCTTCGCCGACGCGATTTGTAATAATTCTGGCCTCGGATATAACGGGGTGGATGAGAAAGGACAGCACAAATGGGATTTGTATTCGAACGTGGATGTTTATGGTTTTGAGGTAGTTATTCCATGATACGGTTGCCTCTTGATATACGATGGTTGTTCGAACTAGTAAATGTGGAGATTAAAGAAAAACATGAGAATTTTGGAAGGCTATGGTGTGCTGTTCGTGTAATTTGTTTAAAGTAAACGCAAGAAACAAGTAACTGAATGTTATTATAAATTATTTGAATTTTCAGATGTCTCTGAGTCTGAGGGACAGCATTGAACACTGGAACAAAGGAACCAATAGTTGGCTTAGATTTATTGTTTATGAAAGAGTCAAACATAGTAAACTTGTGCTCACGTACGCTCTCTCTGCCTTGTGGCACGGGTTTTATCCCGGCTACTATTTGACATTTGCGAATGGAGCCTTTTTCACTGTGGTATCACGCATAGTAAGTGACAAAATAATTTATGATGCAATTACATTAACAATAGAACTCATAACTCTATTAATATAGGATTAAAGTTTGTCGTTGTCTGTGGTAATCTCATGTTATCTATCAATTCGCTTTGACACAAACGAAAGTAATATGATCCAAAAATAAATATTCAATATTGTGTATTCTTAATGCACATTTATAACGTATATAATGTATTAGCAGTCGGTATAAGATTATGCTGTATTTTGCTGATTCACGATGGAAATAAGGTTGAGTAATATTGATTTGAATACGCGAATTTATAACAAGTCATGTTCTAACATTTTGTAATTACGTCAAAAGTCGTTATGGATTACTCACATCATTTACTCGCTATATTATTATCGTTTATTATTATGAATTAATGAACTATTATTGTTAAAATAGGGGCGTCGTAATATTCGACCACATTTCTTGGGGTCCAAACGTAAACAGTTCCTCTACGATGCGCTTACGTTCATAGCAACGCGGATCTTAATGGCCTACATTACATTCAGCTTTATACTCTTGGAATTCGTACCAAGTATTCGAATGTACCTGTAAGTAACGACAGAAAAATACAATTTTCATATTAATATTTATAATTGTGTAAAGTGTAAACTGAACTGAGCTACAAATACTAGAATAATTTATAGGCTAGCAATAACTTACTGTACAATTATATCTATTACAATTTTGTTTTAGGTATTTATACCTGATTGTACATATAGGAGGTCTTGCTATAATAATCATTGCACCTCGTCTTCCGAAGGTTCCATCGCATAAGACGTTAGCCGACAAAGCGGTCAACGTTTCTCAGGAATTAACTAATGGAACTTTGCACAAATCCAAGTGAACAGCATTTTCGATGCTATCGAAAATCGGTGGTCGCAAAAGAAACATATTTTTTATAAATGTTTTAACATACACATGTACACGTATGTGTGAATATATACATACGTACAATATATTTATTGTTATAACGTGTTACTGGTACAAAGTCTATGTCGTCGAGAGTGTAAAGAGTCTAATTGCTTTATATAATGTGAGTGAGTATATCTTATATTCGAGAGTCTTGTGTATATGTTGAGCAGTTGTTCAAGCATTCAAGACACCAGTGGTAATGTTGCATGTTTTTATTATTCGAACGAACACGCGATAGTCTTGTTTAATATTCTTCGCGTTCCTTTCCCCGTTTATTTTTCCCATTTGCAATGTTAAACTAAGATTGTAGTTAATAAATTGTAACACTTATGTAGGACGCGTTGCGCAAATTTTAATTCAAAGAGATATACACGCGATTTTACAGTTTTATACTTTTAGTAAGCGCAATAATACTACTATTAATTTTAAATAAATCTGAATATTTATTTATTAAAATATACCTTGTGAATTTCATTGATACCCGTAGAGGGTGCATCCAATTAGCGAACACTATGTGATGATGCATAAGAATGCTCAACACTCCGGAACTATTATGTAAGTATCGTTGTATGGTAATGACGCACATTCTTAAAGTATATATCACATTTCTAGAGATCCCAAAAATAATTTAAAAGATTTTTTATTCTGTTGTCATTTTTCTAACACCTGTTCACCAACCCTCTTTTTTTAATGAATACTAAAATATTATTTGTGTAAAAGTATATTTCTAGTGTATTATCACATTGGCAGCAAATTTCAGAAAAAAATTAAGTGAATTAAGAATAAGTTAAGTTAAACAATTCTTGAAATAAACTCAGAACTACATTTAAGTCAAGTGACACTCCTCTCACGAAGAATTATTCTGTCCATACCTACTTTTTACCTGTTTGTATCGAACACTACATAGAACTATTTACATACATAGTCTGGGACAGCCCTTTGAGTAGAGGTAGGGAGGGAACATTGTTTCCGAGTTACTAGCGCGAGGGGAGTAAGTTAGACACATCTGACTTAAGTCTAAACTTGGATAGAAAACCATTTAACATTTGATATTCTGCTTTAAACTGTTCAAAATCAATTTTTCAGTATGTGTTATATTGCCAATATATAGTAAATATATGTTTTCAATTAATTTCGATCTACACATTAATAATATTTTATATTTTATAAACAATATTTCGTATTTATACCTCATAGACATCCATCAACAAACGCGTCACATAGGTGGCTTAGAATAATAGTGATCTGACCACTATTTTTCTGTTCTCGAGAAAAAAGCTTTCGAGAAATATTTTCAGATTAATTAACTACTAATATTACAATATTACTAATAATATTAGTTATTAGTCAAATAAGTCATTATAAATATTAATAATTGTAACAGTATTCAATGAATTTAGGAACATTCCAGAAAAGATTTTTTCTCAAAAATTCAGAAGTAGGAGTTAAACTACTACTATTTTGAACCATCTTATATTAAAAAGCATCTCAGCCCAAAGTCTCCATCCCCCACACGCCTGTACACTTTCAAATAACTAAAGTGGTAAAATGAGCATTCGCTAATGGTTCTCGGATCTATTTTCATTCGTTGTCTAATGGAATATCGTCTTTATAATCGGGTAAAGAGAAGCACCGAAACTGCCCGACACTCCAGAAGCCCTATTATACAGGGTACCAGCGACCACTTGGCTCGAAGATCCCTCAGTGTGATCATCGCGATCGAATCGCGACGATCCCGTGGTTGCTAGCCCCAATAGATACGTGCTCCTTCGTTCTACGAAAAAAAAAGAAATGGTAAATTAAATCGTCGACTGTTGACATTGTGGATGTGCAAAGGATAGTGTAAAAGTTACGCTTTGGAGGTTCCAGAAAAGTAATCAGATGTGCGACGGTTGAGTTTTGAAACGTTGAACAGTTTCGTTGTGTTTGAGAATGAATGTTAACAAATTCGTATGGTGCTGAATTTCTGTACAGTATGTCCCCTTTCATTATCTTTGCACGATCTACGGTGTTAATTGATTAATTTAACGAAAAATTCTTAGATTCCCTACTTATTAACAGAACTACTTAATGCTGCACTGTTTTCGAGGATAAATAAAATATCACGTATAAACATTAAAAAAGATTCAGAAATATAACTATAATACTACTGAAGGATTATTTTATTACGGTAATATTTTATGTCAGTATATTAATGCTGTAGTGTCGTATTACTGATTCCTAATTATACAGTATTATATTTCATGCTTCTGAATAATTTTGTGTACTTGTAACTGTATTATTATGAAACACGCGCAGCATTCAATACTAATTCTATACGACTTGTTAAATTTATATTGTTATAACGTATATTACAACACATTGGAAGTGATTTAGTGATAGTAAAAATAACAGATTTTTATGTTTTCTGTTTTACTATATAGTACTGAAGAAAATCTAAAAGATGAATGAACTTTCGTATAATATACTTATCATATGCACGTGTACCGGAAAAATTATACGATAATTGGATTATTAATATGGTGCTTCATTATGTCACATAAAGAGTTAAAATCTGTTTTCACAGTAAAGATGCGTCATTTAATTAAATGAATTTTAATACATCGTTGAAAGTAAAAAAGACATATTGCCCTCGGTAAAATTTTCCAAATCGCGTTTGTCTTAATATAATATTTATAAGACAAAAACAAAATCATTAAACCGACAAACACATTTTTTCGGAATATTACAATATAACGGAATATAACTTTAAAGTTCAACTTCACTTTGAATGAATTCTAATGCTGTATAGATTTTTGTTTAGAAATTACAAGAAAGTGATCACATTACTAAAATTTATAAACCATAATTTAAATGATTTACAGGTTTCCAATGATATAAGAAGTATACAGGATGAATCACGTAACGCGACGATTCTAAATAACTCATAAAATATGTACTGTATGAAATATGTCTCGAACAAAAGCTGTACGGTTGAAAAGGGGACATTAGTAATGACAGATAATTAACATTAACATTATCTGTCATCGTAAACAAAGTTGTCCTCCAAATTATAACAGCCCTGTTGAATAAGCATGCCTTGTAATGCAGGATAATTATTTTGTGAATATCTCAATAATTATTCATCTTCGACCCTACATAGCATAATGAGTTTTTATGCAGTATTCGATGTTTTATCAGAATTCAGAAAGAAAATTTAGGCATTCCATTTAAAAAAATGAAAGTGACCTGCATATCTCGATAAAGTAGTAAAACATAATAAAACCCATATAACTATTGAATGTCCTCTTTTCAACAGTACAGCTTTTGTTCGAAACATTATTTCCTACGTGAGTTGCGTGACTCACCCAGTAGATCAATTTACTATGACGTGAATTGAATATATATGTATAGTTGTTCTCACAGTATTATAAACATCTTTCAATGAATTTGTTTAATTTTTTTTTGAAATATTGAAAGTTTCAAAAGTTTCCGCGTTAGAAATTACCTACTGTTCTATTATAGAAATATAATTTTGTAACCATCCATTTACTACCCTTTTACATGGTATTCTCTATTTCACGCATATCTAATGGTTTTTAAATAGATTAATCAATTTGCAACAATAATGAGATAATTTTTCTTTTCATTCAATTGGCATGAAAACCGTTGAAGAGACGATGGAACAGTTATAATATGTTTCAGTCCAAGTTCGTCAACGACATTGTTCAAGTGTAAACCCGAAGAGACAACGATTTTATCAGGTGATAAACGCCACCGTATATTGTGTCAATCAATTCAATTTAAATAGCCACTAATAAATACAAAGTCAATAGACTTGAAACGGTATTCTTCATTTTTGATAATATTCTTGTTTGTGGCCTTAAAGTCAAATTGTCAGCTTACTAAAATAAAGTATATTAAAATATATTATTATTATAAAATAAACTGTATTCTAACTATATTAAAATAAAATTTTAAACGAGGATTTATACATTTACTTTATCAAACAATAAAGTATTAATGTCAATAAATACCGATTGATTTATAGAATTTATTAACAATGGTGAAAGTGGGTTACGTTCTCGTCTTTGTCACCCTATTGCTGATGATGTGGGCATCCGTTGTCCGGATGCACGAACTGCCCGTGCAATATCCGCCATGTTTCTTCAATCCCCTTTGCACCTGTTCGAAAGCGATTCCCGATCTCGGCATAGTCACCTGCTACAATGTACCGATGCCGCGGATACCTCAGCCAATTAACTCCTCGAAGGTGTTCATGCTTCAGATAGAGAACAATGGTCTGATGTTTCTGCAACCGCAATTCCTTATGAACACAGGTACGGAGATAAATTATACCATTGACGATTAATTGTTTGCGCACGTATTCCTTCCACAATAAGAATTTAAACTAATGAAAATAAAAGGAACGATCTGTTTTTCTCACTAACTCTGCTCTATGATTTCTTTCACAACTGTGCTTGATAAAACTACTTTAGCGCTAATAATTTAGTAGAAAAAGAAAAGAATTTTATATGTATTCTGTGTCTACGTTTACTTTAAAACTTAAAATTTGACAATAGACAAGTTAACTAATATATGTCAACCACAAATGAATAACATTTATCGAATTCAGTTTAAAATGTTCATCCCGAGTTTGACACGATGTTATAGAAAAAAGGATTAAGACGACTTTTAAGACACAAAAATTACGGTAATTAGAGCTCGTAGTTTGATCGAAGTCCTTCAACTTCAACCGATTGTTTGAATGATTCCGATCGTTGAGCATGGCGATAAAGGGGTGTAAAGGTTAAAGGGCGTTGACCACCCGTCGCGAATAACTACATCATCGATTACGTTATCGGTAAACTATACACGTCAGTTTAGTTTCCATACTACTTAGTATTCTTCAATCTCTCAGGCCTATACAACTTACGGATCAAACATAATCCCTTGGCCGACATCCCGGACGAAGCTTTCCTAGGGCTTGAGAGATCGTTATGGGAGCTCGAATTACCCTACAATCGCCTCGAGAGAGTACCCAGCAGGTCGTTCAGGCATTTGCAAAAGTTGCAGCTTCTAGATCTGACAGGTACTTCCTTCTTCGATATTTTTAACGTCGCTTCCTTCACACTAAACTCATGAAAAACTCGTCAAAATAAGCAATAATGGTAGACTATTCGTTTTTCATTTCGTTGGTTCATCAACAGGCAACAAGATATCCAAGATAGCCGCCGACAATTGGCGCGGCCTGGAAAATTCCTTACAGAAGCTGCGTTTGGGGCGTAACGCCATTGATCGACTTCCGGCGGACGCGTTTGCCGGCCTCACGTACTTGGACATGCTGGATCTGCGGGATAATAATCTAAAAGAGATCGATCCATCGGTGTTCAGAGATGGCATGGCCCATTTGGTTCACCTTTACCTGAACGGTAATCAACTGACTCATATCCCGTATTCCCAGCTGTCGGCGCTAAAACGGATGAAGGTGCTGGATCTGAGCTTCAACAGGATATCGAAGATGCTAAACACGCAACAGGAACCTGAAATAAGGGGGCTCCAAATGTCTTTGGATACGCTACGTCTAGACTACAACCAGATCGGGATACTAATGCCTGGGGACTTCCAACACTTTTTTAAAGTCAATAAAACTTACCTCGACGGCAATCCATTGTACATGGTCGAGGTAATCAGATATTTTGTATCTCTGCTGGTGTCTTCCAAGTGTCAGTTTCGCTAAAATGTTTAGTGGTTCAAAACTAGAGGCAACAAATTGTATCTAGACGAAGATTTTCTGAAAACGAATACAAGTACTTGGTTCGTATTATTCATTAGAATTTGATCAAATCTAGAATAAAATATCCCTTCAAGGTCAAAGAATAAAGTTATAATTGTTAAAACGAGACTTTATACGTCTATAACTTCCATTGGAGTAATAATTTGATTTCTTTTTGCCTTTGTACCAGGTAATTTGCAGCAAGACATTTTGCATTTGAAATACATGTATTCTATCTCGCTTGAAAAAGTATTCACTTGAAGTATTCGTTGAAAACATCATCTGCAAAGGCTATAGAGCAATCATCCTAATTTAAATCTGTTGGACACGAAATTTCGTCTTTCAGGAGGGAGCATTCCGAGATTCCAAGATAAAAGAACTTTATTTTGCCGATTGCGACCTTATGGACGTAAGTTCAGCCAACTTCGTTGGCCTAGAATCGTCCCTGGAGTTACTGGATCTGTCTGGAAACAACATCACCACTCTTCCAAGCCCCATATTCCAGGAATACGATTTTCTTCGAACATTAAACTTCCGCGAGAACAAGATCCAGACCTTCTCACCTGGTAAAATGAGAAATTTAATCGTACCTCTGTGTTCTTTATTGTTTTAACACATTGAATGCCACGTTGAATTTTATAAAGCAAAATACACAAAATGGAAAATGTATAATATTCAATCATTTGATTGAACTGCATTGTTATTATTGCACGTTCATCTAACTGAATGTCACTGCATTAGGTACCATTATCTATAATGTAGAAATGTAATCATCGTTCAATTGAGTGAACTATAGTAATTCGATTTGGTTAGGACTCACCGGTGATCCTGATGACTCCCGGGCCATTCAACGTGTTAATCATTTGTCTTGGAATTGTATCAGTTACTTTGCGAGTCATAAGTGTCTATGTAGTTTTGCAGTACTTAGATAAAAGAAGTTCTAACAGTATACATTGTTTTCGTACTTTTAGTAAAATAACTGCATCGCATAAACTGATAAACTACAGTAGACATTATTCCAAGCCAAATGACTTAACCATTTCCATATTCTTTGTGAATTATTTTTTCACTTTCGTTATATGTGATTTTGTTAACAGCCGAAGTGTTCAATGGTTTCCAATATTCTTTGTACAATCTGGACTTGAGCGGTAAGGAGAACAGTGTAGTGTCTCTTCAAGATCTACGACAGATGCGGAACATGCGTTTCCTGTCGATCTCGCGAATGCCGCAGTCGACTTTATCCCCGGAAGATTTCATGGAATACGGAATGGACATCAAGGAGCTGCGTATCGTGAAAAGTAACCTGAACACCATCAAGAGCCACGCGTTCATGCACGTTCGAGGGATCAAGTACATGGACTTCTCCGAGAATTCAATTTCCTCGATGGAGAACGAAGCGTTTTCAGAGGTGAATATATTATTTGTTTGGTCTCTTATTTATTTATTTATAAATGAAAGATGAAAGAGCAAGACATTATAAGTATGAAAGTTACAATAAAGCTTGAGTTACACAAAATTGTGATACTCATCTTACGAAAAAATAAACGACGTCAAATTGTATAACGGTTGATCCTCTCTACAAAAGATAAATGAAGTGTAAAGCAAACATTTTTTACGCCACGAAAAGAGTTGTTTCCCAGAAAATAGACTGTTAAGATGTACCTAATATGTATGCATATTTTTGATTACTATAAAAAGAAGCAATACTCATAAACAGATTCTTTCAAATTGATTTTCATTGTGTTGATTAATATAAAATAATTTTATGTTATCTTTTTAATTTATTTTTACACAAGAAATCACCCTCGTATCGCACTATATAAAGATTGTTTTTCATACTGCATTGCAGAATAATAGGAACGTATGCCCGCACAAGTATGTAAATGTTTAAATTTGTTGAAAATTGAGTGTTCTGAAAGGGTTCCCAAACCAGCGTTACAAAATTTATATCGTTTCGAACGGGCAACCGTACAAAACCGCAGTACCTGCGATCGATAAGAATTAGTAATTTGCGCTAATATTTAATTAAACTAGATTCGAACTGCATACGTAAAGGCCTTGATAGCCGCATGTAACTCGAATAAAACGGGCTTCTAGAAATCTCCCGTGTAACAACTACCTGACCTGTTTGGAGACAGAACGCCCACTTCAGCACTCTTAACTTATCTTCTTACTATCGATTTGAAAGTTAATAGCGATCAATTTAATTTGATAGTTGTATAGACCACAGAATGTTAGAACCTGATAGTATGTAACTAACAGTAAATATGCTGTTAATAAATATTAAATAATTCAAATGGATAAATTATTTCAAAATATTTATTGGGAAGACAAAAAATCTCTTCTACACTACACACTTCTACGCCTAACAATACAAATTGTATTTTATTTTATAAGTAAAAATATTTAAAGTTTGTTATTCACAAGATATAATGCAACATTTGAAAAGGCAGTACTCTTAATAATATGTTTCAAAGATACCTGAATGATACAAGAATATTCTATAAGAAGAATTTACAGGACATTAATATTTGTTTAAAGGAATATTAAGCAGTTTTGTACAAAGTCAAATTCTTAACCTCTTGTTCTATGATTTCATTCACAACTATGCTTGATAGAATTACTTTATCGTTAACGATTTAGTAAGAAAAGAGAAGAACGTTTACTCTGGAGACTAGAGATTGATAATAAGCAAGTAATATTTCATTTATATGAAAAATAAATTTATAACATTTACATTTGTCGAATTTGGTTGAATATCTTCATCACAAGTCTGACTCGATATCATAGAAGAAGGGGTTAACTAAGAGATACTAATGTCCTTTGTAACTCATTTTTCTTAGGTGGGCCATTCGCTTCTGACGTTGAGAATGTCACACGGTTTGTCGTCCTCTTTCTCCGAACTTCCAAATGCACCCTTCAAATTTTTAACGAATTTGCAACACCTCGACTTCAGCAACAACAAAATTAAATCCATGCCGGACACGTCGTTCCACTTCATGAAGAGGATTAAACGAATCGAGTTGCAGGACAACGAAATCGATAGCATTAGAAAAGGAACGTTCCAGGTATGTACGTTCTAATTGATTAATCAATTATTTTATAATTCATTTACAATATAGTAATTTAATTTAATTTGTATTGTATGCTACAGAGTTAAATTCTACAAAAATATAATATCGTCAAGTTTTTGCTATCATTCTTTACACGCTCCCGTAGCTTCATCTTGAAATATCGTATTGCTTATATCTATTCTCTTCTTCATTATCCCCTTTTTCTTGAGGAAAGTAAATGGCAAACATTGTTCTGTTTAATTACACAATTTAAACAGTATAATATCTATAATGCTTTTTCATTTACCTTCCAAAATTAAGAGATTCGTATTGCATAGTGTCGTATTACAAATGAATTATTTGTTTATGTGCAGGGTGACATTCATTCAACTCTCGAGGATGTAAATTTCGCGTACAATATGATCAAAACGATCCAAACACACACATTCGTCGATCTGCCGCGATTATCCACTATAAATTTAGAAGATAACGCTATAGACAGAATAGAGAGACGAGCATTCATGAATATGAAGCTGCTGAAGTATATCAATTTACGGGGGAACAAGATAAAAGACATCTCGGATGAAGCGTTCCAGGTAGGGCATCAATTTCTATTAAATTGATCTCGATAATATCAACGACATCGCCAGTTTAATTAATAATTTCATCATAATCGAAATGTCTACAAAATTTCAATTTATAGAGATATTAAGTCCATTAACGTCTTCGCAAAACCAGCATAGAACATCAGTTCTATAATGACGATGAATAGAAGATAAATTGATTGACTTCATAAAAAAGAAACTAAAATTAATAGATCAAGTAAATATTGTAGTGTGAATTATTGAAGACTTATGTTTAACCCTCGCATTACGAAGGTATTTTTCGGTATTCAAAGTACCTGATTTCACTATGAGCAGAGCATACAAATTACACTGAAACAATGTATACACTAGAAAACATCGTATTAAACAATGACAATAAATTTTTTCCAAATTTTAACCGGTTTAATTTACCAAAAAAGTACAAAAAATATGTTATTACTTATTACTGCTAAGATTAATATATCTAAAGATAAAAAATATACAAAATGTCATATATAAATGTATGTTTAACAAATTCAATCTAACCTATTGGCACTGATAAGAATCGTTCAGTGACGATAGGATCAAAAGGTACTATGATTCTTTTGTCACAATTTACTAAGTATATTAGCAAATATTTTGTAGTTTAATATTTAATTAAAAAAGGTTTGACACCAGGTATGCTCGAATGTATTAACAATCATCCATTGAAATTTTCGAATTCACAAGGGAACCTTTTCAACCAGTACATGACGATATTAATGAAACTTATGTGAGACATAGTTCTCAAGAAAATATTTCACATGTAGTTTTTCTTATCGGTCAACATCCACTTTAAAAGGCTGAAAACACCTCTCAAGGATCAGCGTTGAAAGTATATTTTTTCCGATATCTCTGAAACTACAGGGCGAACAATTTAGATATGAATTTCTTTTCAACATTTTCTAGTTTCAGAGATATTAGAAGGAATATACTTTCAACTCTGAACTTTGACGGGTGTTTTCGGCTTTTTAAAGTGAACGTTGACCGATAAGGAAAAATACGTACGAAATATTTTCTTGAGAATTATGTTTCACATAAGTTTCATCAAAATCGGCGTGTGCTGGTTGACAAGCTTCCCTTGTTAGTTCGAACTCTAACAGACTCAATTGTAACCAAGGGAAAAAGATGAACGAGGTAAACAGTATTTTAATATTGTTTATTAAAGAATCTTCCGGATCTGGAGTTCCTGGATCTGGCATATAACGACTTGACCGAGTTCGATTTCGCTTCGTTTGATCAAGTGGGAACCCTGTCGTCGTTTAAAGTGAACGCGAGCCACAACGAGATCCCAAAACTGTGGATCAATAGCACTACGTTCACGCCGGCGACCACGAGTAAGTCCCTTATTAAATACTTTGGGCAAACTTCGTTTAACGCCCGTAAACAGATTTTCTTAAGTCTGCTAAACGAAAAGTCGATGAAACCCTTTGCCGTTACAAATTGGAATGGACGTCGCTACCAATCCTCCTGTGCTTCGCTGACGCAATGTGTCACGCGATTGTAAACTCCTTTTAAACCCCTTCACGCGTGGATTATTGATATGTCATCACGAATATGCACGTTCTTGCGAGTATATTCGAAGACTTAGATTTAAAAATGTTGAATACTAAAACGGGTAAAAATGATCTATTTCTGATTTTTTCTTTTCGCAATTATTAAAAAGATAATAGATGTTTCTCTGAGAAATTATTAAAGGAATTATTTAGTAATACTCAAACTAAATTATAAATCAATTAAAGTCTCAATAGATGCACTCTTGAAGTTTCTATAGAAGAATTTCAAAAAGTCAATTTAACTGCTCAGTAGTTTAGTGTTAACACGTTCGCAACCACACGTCATGTATGTGTGACGTTGCTGATTACTGTTACTACGATGCCATTAACATATATTTTCCGTATGGTATACCCTATTGCTGCTTTGGCTATATCAAAATATCCTACATATATGACATTAGGTAAAATGCTTTGTTTGGTTTAAACAGTTAACTTCGTTTGATGAGTATAGACTTTTTGATGAGCAAACTTTTTCAACAATAGACTATTTATTCTTTTACATAAACATGTAATTCTTTTTCGTTTCGCTTTAGTTTATCCTTAGAATATATTATAAGTGCATTTGGCCTGCATTCTGAGTATTTGATTTTATTGCGCGCACAATAAGAGATTTTTTAAACTAAACACCTAGTCCACGGTAATGACATTTGTTTGTCCGTGGTCGCACACATGTTAATTGTTGCTTCATATCGTTACTTATACGTAAAATAAGTCTGCAATAAAACCAACAGTCAACAAGCTTCTTGCCATTCACCGTGTTACGTGAAATAGTATCAACAATTTACGAATTTCCTTATGTGGTTACAGTTGGTGGCACAATACAATCGAACATCAAGGTCCTCGATCTCAGCTACAACAACATCTCCGATATAATGAAGTATTATTTCAAACCGGTAGAATATTCATTGACGCACCTCTACCTGTCCCATAATCAATTGGGCAACGTTACGCAAGGGGTCTTCGGAAACATGCCTCATCTTCAGTGGCTCGACTTGAACCACAATGAGCTGATGGAAATCGATTTTGACTGCTTTAGAAATACAAAAAATCTTCAAGTTTTGATCTTGTCGTGGAACAATATCATGGACATTCCAGCAGAAGCGCTTAGACCCTTGAAGAAATTGAGGATCGTCGATCTGTCTAACAATAAGCTGAGAACACTGCCAGATAATATATTTTCTGATTCTAATATAGAAAGTCTGGATCTTTCTCATAATCAGTTCATGAGACTTCCCATCAAGGCCATGTCTATTTCTTCTGCTGCCAGCCTATCCATGCTAGACATGTCTTGGAACACTTTGTCGGGAATTCATACCACTGATGCTATTTTCAGATTACGAGTTGGTTTTCTATAGCATTGCTAAATGAATAATTAGATAAATAGTACTTAAATCGTTCCCCTTTGAGCCATACTGCTATAGTTCTTAAAACTATATTTTGAAATTATTTTACATACTACCAATTGCTTTATATACTTTTTTATCTTGCTATACAACATAAAAAAATAAAACACCAAAACATTTGTTCTCGTTTCCTTCTCCGCGATTTTCTCAAAAATGAAGCAAACACGAGCAGTTCTCTAAAGGAATTTTTTCTTGTTCATTCATATCATATGCACTTCCAATGTTTTGACATTAAAAGTGAGAACACCCTGAATATTAAAGGGAAATGATTTAAAGATCTCATTTTCTATAAATATTACACCTGTTAATGATTCTGTTAAGTTAGAATTACTTTGGATGGATTAATCGAGGAAAAATTAAAGGAGTGTACTTAATGATCTGTATTTGTTTCAGAGTCTAACGTGGTTGGACTTGTCCTACAATCGATTAGTCAGGCTCGATGACGGTGTGTTTTCCGACATGTCCTATCTAACTCATCTCGACTTAAGCCACAATAAACAGCTGCTATTGGAGTCGCGAGGAAGAACTTTCCACGGCTTAGAGGACTCTCTTCTTTATCTAGATTTGAGCAACATTTCGCTCTTGAGTGTATGTATTGAGGCATCCATACACGTTGAAACATGCGGTGATTCAGCCATAGCTACAAGCAATGTGTTTCCGTCTTCTGAGGTTTCATGGTACATGTTGCACTCAAACAAAAAGTGAAAAAGGCGCAGTTTCATTGCTTGTAGCGATACCTGAATCGTCACATGTTTTAATGTGTATGGGGGCCTTCAAAGTATCTACAAGTTAATTTTAACACGTTTGCGACCATGGTTAAACTTAAAATACAGTGAGACCGCGGACTTGTATATAACTGTATATAAAGTATATAATTTGAAATTATTTAACCATAAAATTGTTATACAAGTAATCCACTGCACGACGAATTCTTTACTCCAGTAACTTTCAGACTGATTCAATTAAAATTAAACACGTGGAGCGAGAGATATTAGTTAAAAACAATTGACTACCGTGTTACATAGAGACAACGTAACTGCAAAACGACGTAAATCAGAAGGCCGTAACCCGTAGCCCCACTGTACCCTTACTGTAGACCGTATCTTTCTTGCAATTGTTCTACACAATATGTTATTTATATAATTTGTATTAGTAAATAGATATATGTATATTAAAAAACTGCGCAGAATTTGTCAGACATAAAAGCTTATGTCTTTACACTTCGCGGCCCAAAGAATTCTTAGTTTCTTTAACTCTGAAGTTGATATCGACGTTATTTAATTCGATTATAGTTTAATACGTTACTTCAATTATTTATTCAAGAACACCGGGGAAACGCCGAAGTGGTACCTTTACACAATACAATTGTGATACTACAAAGAATCAAAGTAGGAATTATTGAAATAAGTAGACATTGGAATAAAATTGAATGTCGAGCCTGAGTGGATATAGGACTGTAAAGGGTGAACACTAGATTTATGAACATTTATTGTACACTTTATGTTGTTCCTAGAACAACTCGTTGGAAATGAGAGAACAACTTCTCTCGGAAATGAGAGCATTACAAACAGTATTAAAATACGTATTAATACAGTTGGATGAATTAAAATCGACATAAACTTTTACCAAATGATATTTATGAAATTTAAATTAAAATTCACTGATTCTGTAAATCTAGTATTAATTATAGGAACTTGAATAAGTATGATTGAAGGTCACTGAATGATCATAGTATATTTTACATTTACATAAAACGTTTGAGAAGTCGGAATGACATATTTAAGATCATAATCATTAATAACAGGCGTGACTGATTATGAAACAGTATTTAATCTGGATGTAAATAACTGTACCTTACAAGAATACCTTCACCGTCCAAGGTTCTGGGCGTAAGCCACGTTCTTTCGAAGGAATTATCTGAATGTTTCGTTAATACTGTAGCTATTTCCGTAATTTCATTAGTGTGTTGAAAAACAGATATTAAGACATTAACCGTCAGTTCCACATTATGGTGGGATTTTAAATATATACGATAAAAATGCAAAATAAAATTTAAAAACCGTATCATTATAAGAAATAAAAAATCTCGGTTTTAACAAACGTTCAGAAATATAACAATGCAATCACCAGCGCCCAGGTTTTTGACAGTTAATTTTAAAGAGTTGCAAGTGTATCAATTTACTTAACTATTTATCCTATAATATCGAGTCAGACTCACGATGAAAACTTTAAATTGAATTCGACAAATCTGAATGTTATTTACTTTTTTCGATATAAATTACAAATTACTTTTCTAGTATGAGTCGTTAACTTTTACAGTAACCATAGATATAGAATAAGTATCAAATTCTTTCCCTTCGTTTAAGAAATTCTTAACGGCAAAATAGTTTCATCAAGTAGAGTTATGTGTTTCGACTGATTGATGCTTCGAGTAATTTATGTGGTATCTTCGGAATGTTTCTAGGTGCCGGATTTGCCGCTGCGACGGCTGCAAACGTTGTACTTGGTGCACAACGAACTGGCATCGATACCGCCGGAAATGGCGTCAAACTTGACATCCCTGCACTACTTAGATCTCAGTGCAAATGATCTGACAGTGGTGCCATTGATCACGCACACCCTACCGGAACTGAAAACCTTCAGTCTGGCAGATAATCCCATTACCGCTGTCACTAACACCAGTTTCCTTGGGATCGCGGATAGCCTCGAGGAACTAGACATAAGACGGCTAGCTTTGACGACTTTCGAAGTAAGTTCTTGCTCAAAGAATATGATTAAGTAACTTTTATTTTATCAATTCTTTTTATATTTATTCGTAATATCATAGTCGATTAATTTTTAGATAAAATTTTAATACTTATAAAATATTTTCAAATAAGTTAGAAAAAATATTATATTAAACTATAGTTGAATTAACATCTTGTCTTAAGATTTTGTCAGTAATAATTTATTGAAAATAGAGAAAATTTTATACGTATTCCATGTCTACGTTTGCCCTACAATATAATAATTGATAACAAAAGAATAATATTTAATTTGAATTCAAAGGAATTTAATGACATTTATGTTTTTTAAATTTCATTCAAAATGTTCACCACGAATCCCACACGTTATTGTAAGATAAAGGGTTAAGAAACGTTGATACGTCGAACGATGAAGAGTTAACGGTGATGAAATTAATTTTGTTGTCGGTACATCGTTGAGAATAGCATAAGTATGTATTAAGAAAATTGATTTGTGACTAGTAAAATTAAATTCGTACTAGTAAATCAGTCGATGATTGTTGAAGGAATTAAAATTTGCTTCGTCTAGATATTACGAAACTAAAGAAATAAAATTGAAGTATTGAATCACATATACAATTTTTTAAATATTCTTAGTGATTTTTGTAGGTCAATTTATAGAAATTTTTTTCTTTATTAAGCAACTAATTATAGATGTAATGAAACATATCGTATAGAATATTTACACCGTATGTTAGTTGTAATTGATAATGCAGATCTGCTAAAGATACTACTAAGATTTTCTTGATCAGAAAACCAAGCGCTCTCGTTTTACAGTCTGGAGCTCTCTGCAAAGCGACTAAACTTCGCAAACTATATATAACTGCTTACAACGGCGTGAAGAATTTCAACTTCCCCAACATTCTCGAGTATAATCATGGCCTGCGACATTTAGTTATCGACGTAAGTTTAAATTAATTTTTATTTAACTCTTAGCGTTTCAAATTTTGTTTAGGTACATTTTTTTCAAAAACATACTTTATTTTAAATGTTTTATTTAAAAAGGATCTTAAAGAGCAATCAGTTAGTAGAAACCAATTTAAATAATTTTCTTTGAAACTTTCTTTTCTTTATAAAAAAAATGCAAATGATTAATATATTTCGAGTGAAAGTAAATACTTTCGCAACACTGACAGCTTCGAGTCCATTAGTTGAAATCACAAATATAAAAGCTCTTGGAAAGTAAGTTAATTAATATGCTAAGTATCCTGATTGCAGGTCCAAAATGATACCGATTTGGAGAAAGAGATGAAAGGGAAGTTCCCTTACAAATTATTTAATATTACCTTAACTGGGCAGTCTCTAAAGAACATACACTCGGATATCCTGCATGTACGTATATTGATTAAAAGTTACCTTCAAGCATGATCTTAGACTCTCGATTTAATAAAATGAAGTTCATTGAATCATTTTAGCATTAAATTGAATTAGCATTTTGTCAATCAATTGAAAAATATTATACTTCATCATATTATTATATCATTCGCAATCAAGCAGAGTGAATAAAAGGAAATAATAATTAATAATTAGTTAAAGATAATAATTGATTAACAAATCATTATACACGATACACGCTTGAAAATTAAATTCTAGTGAAAGACGCAAAGATGTAATGTTAAACGCTTCAAGGAACCATTAACGTTTCAGGGAATAAGAAGTCCTCATCTTCATTTCGGAATGTACAACACCAGTGTGACTACTGTACCAAAGAAAATGTTCGACAACGCGGAATGGGTCAGAAATGTGACGATTCATATCCATCACAGTGACGTAAGAACCCTTCACAATCCGTCTAATGGATACAAGCCAGGAGTTCCTGGGAAACGGTTTCTTCTGAGACTTACAGTTAGGGGAAATTACTTCACCTGCGACTGCGACATTGGGTGAGTTTACGTGCTATACTTGTAACTTATTTTATCAAGTAAATTCCTCTTATATTCATTGAGTATCTAAGTTAAAAACTCATTGGCGATGAGCTTCTAATGAAACTTTTTAATACTGATTTACGGTTAATCCACATCATCTTCCGATATATGGAGGAATTAGAGTTATTTCTGTGAGAAAAACAACAGATATTTGACCTTTATCATAAGAACACAATAAAAATTCGATTTTCGTTAATACATGACGATTTATATTATTATTTCGCATTATTTAAGAAGCTCCGTTAATGTCCTTTGTAATAAGTTCCATTAAAGCATTGTAAACGAAAAAAGACTTTTTCTATTATGTCTGTTGCGCACAAACTCAATTTTTTTTAATTTACATGTCACCTGATGGGTGGCAAAGCACAATATGTTCTGCATTTAATGTGTTAATGAACACTGAATAACAAAATCGATTATTTTTAGATGGATGGAAACGTGGCAAAGGAAGCACAGACAATATCAGGAAGATCGTTGCAGCACTTACAGTGAGTTCAAGAATTTCGAACGTAACGAAGAGGACGACGAATTTGAATGCTGGAACAACGAATGGGACGATGACCTTCGGGAATCATTTTGCTTGAATAAGAACAATGTGTCGGTGTTGGAGGCGTTGAAAACCGATTTGGAATGTGGGTGGGGCGCAGCGGGTTACATCCAGGCACCGCATCATATCCTTCTTCTTGTCTTCGTCGTTCTTGCAGCAGCGATTTACTAAGCCTTGGCCACTAACATTACATGTTCTTCGAATCAATCACCGTTCCTTTTCTCGCGACACAGAACAGCTTAAAGTGCAAATGTACCAAACACACCACCTCGCAACAAGAAAGAATGAGTTACAGCTTTTCATGCTAAAAACACTCTTTCCAACTGAAAGATGTCATAGATGTGATTATATTCCGGTTAGCTTTTAGAAATGTAAATATTTCTAGATTTCTAGCTTTATTAGCTTTAATCAAGAGGAAAAAATATTTCCTATGTATTCTTCTCCTGTAGAAAGATAGGAAAACGTGCGTACGAAATTTTGTTTACGCCAGTGTATATCGGCGACCATTTTGTAACAGCAGGAGTAGATCTGGGTAGAACCAACGGGTACGTATGTATTATGTATTTATTTACATTTACTGAATAAAAGGTGTTAGTATTAATGGTAGAGGTAGGGTTTATTTATTTATAAATAATTGTAATAGCGTCTAAATGCCGTGTACTAATGTTATTTATTTCGTATTTGTGATCACTATCTTTAATTACCCTTGTTTTTAACGTTAAGGTTGCGAATATAATCACATCTATGTTTATTATTATTGTACTGAACAGCGAAAGACAGATTTTGTTTGCACTTTAATCCACTGCGACAGCGAGGATACAAAGCTCTTGCACATCCCCTCGTTACTTCGCGTTGAACAGCACGCTTTGAATCAATGAGACTGTCAGATTAACGTTCAGATACTCGTACAAAGTGTAAATCGTCGGAATCAACAGGAATTGAGGTTTTACACTCTTCGTAGGAACTAGCGACTCTTATTTACGAATCATTGTATAAAACTAAATTACCTTAACATCGTACTTCTTTTCTTCGTGCCATCGTATCGTTCAACTAAGAGCTTGCGAATCGAACAATATTTATTTGAAACTTTTTTAAAGAAACCGATTGAAAGTTAAAGCAATAAAAACTAAAGAAAATATTTGATTATTTTTCGTGCCAGAAAAAAGCATTGAATTTCGAAAAATTGTGCTTTTGTTGTACGAGTTACAGAGAAACGAGAATTTTTTATATATTTCTCTACGTTTCAGTGATAATTTTAAATAACAGATACTTTCCTTCGTTTTCAAGATCTTAGTTGAACGCACGTGTCAATGTTACGTTCAATCGACTGAATGTAAACCACGACCAAGTAATGAATTATTCAAATGAGTTAACAAATATTGTGGATAAGACCAAGAACTCTCGTAGCTTTGAAGTACATTTTCTCAAGTGGTGTTGTCACCCCTACTAAATTCAACAGTGAACAGATTTTATACCTGTCTATTAAAGCAGAATATTCGCTTGCAAGTACATTATGTCGACGCGGCATTTTTTAATAAAATTGCACCAAATACACGAGAAATGTTTTCATCATTATTTACAATCCTTTGTCTACAATATTATTATATAT